TACTAAGGCACGTTTTAGTTTAATGACAGTCTCCATTTTTTACTAATGAATATGTATTTTTCTTTATAAATCAAAACAAACTAGTATATAAAAACCTTGTATATTTCTATTATCTCTAAATTATTTAAAGTTCGAATATGGATTGTATTTTGAAGGACAAAAGATTTACTTTAAAAAATTTAAAATCTTGGGACTTTGCCGATGCGATGATCACAGAAAAAGAGAAGACTTACGTTATTAAAATCAAATGTAAGTTATGTGATCTTCATCAAAATAAAATATTATCCAAAAACAATAGTGCCGTAAGGGCAACTGCCCAACGGTTTATAAATAATACAAGTCATGTTAAAATATTTTAACATGTTACTATATTTTAATTAAGTTGATATATAATTAAAAATAAAAATATAGTTCAATAAATAAATTAAATTTATTCTTAACAAAGATTACCTCATATTTATTCTTTTTTTTTTTTTATTAAGTTAAATTGCTTACAAACGAAAAAAAAAAAAAGAGTTTTGTAATTATACGTAGAATGAAAATTATACGTAGAAAAAAAAGAGTTTTGTAATTATACGTAGAATGAAAATACTTTTGAGTTTGTTTATAAGTTAAGGAACTTAATTTTTAATAAACAAATTTTTACGAACGTTTATTATAAACAGATACGATTCAAATTATTAAATATACTTAAATTATTTCAATTGAGTATTTTTATAAGTTTGCACGATTAAAGTTTGGCGTACAAGTATTTGTTTTTTTGTTTTAAGAATAATTAATAAAAGAGTTTGCATAATTAAGACTTTTATATTTAATTTAATTTTTTTTTTAATTTCCTAAAATTAAAAAAAAAGAAAGATTTAATCGTTAAAAACGATTTTTCTCTATAGCTCTGTTTCTTTGTGATTTGTTTAAAAAGGTAAATATTTTTACAATAACATAAAAAGTTTATGAATTAAATTCCTAGCGAACGCGTTCTAAACTACGTATCAAAAATACGCTTCAAAGCAGACAAAACTTTTTTATATTTTTATAAAACGCAAGTTGAAACGCTTTTAAAAATTTTAAAAATATTTAAAAACTTAAATTTTTCTTTGCTAGTCAAAACAAAATCGTTGTTTAAATAATTAACTTGGGTTTGTGTTTATCAATGTTAATATTTTTTGTTTACTCTAGAAATTTTTAAAAATAAAAAAAATCATTATTATTTTTTATTCAATAACGATTAAAATAATTATTCAAAAACAAATTTCAGAAATAATTAAAATATATATATATATATATTTTTTTTACTAAATAATATTGAACTAAAATTAATAATAAAATAACAATTGAAAACATTACAAAATTTTCATAATAAATTTATATTTAAAACGTTTATAGTTTATATTTGAGTTGATTGTTAAATTGAATTAGTTTGCGGTTATTCATTTATTGCGGTAGTTAAAACACTTAACGCCTATAAAAAAAAATAAAGATAATTTTATGACGTCAAAATTGCGTTAAGCTAATGCATTAAGCACTTTTTTATTTAAAACAAGGCCTATATATATATATATATATATATATATATATATATATATATATATATATATATATATATATATATATATATATATATATATATATATATATATATATATATATATATATATATATATATATATATATATATATATATATATATATTATATATATATATATATTATATATATATATATATATATATATATATATATATATATATATATATATATATATATATATATATATATATATATATATATACTATAATAATATATATATATAATTAAAACTAAATTAATTAAAAATAAATTGAAGCTTTGAAAAAAAAATTCAAAAAACTTTACTTTTTGTTACGTTTTTAATAGCATTTGAAATTAATTACTTTATAACTTTTCTTTTTAAACGTTTTAAGTTACGCAAAAAGCTTTTAAAATTACTTCTATTGATTGTTTAATAAATAAACAAATTTTATTTAAATTATTGAAAAGTGCAATTAAATTATTGAAAAGAAAAAAATATAATATTTTTAAGTTGTTTAAACATTTTTTTCAAAAAATAAGCGTTGTCAGTTATAGCGTGAAAACAGTGTTGATAAACAGCATAAATCTTTTCGCCTCCACTTTTCTTCTGGAGCAAACAGCGGCTGCCTCCCAAAAAATTTAAATAATTTTACTTCCTGTGGCTTCTGGCTTTCTATTAGTGGCTGCAGCCAGAGTTTGTTTATGGAGGCAAAATGTTTAGAAGGCCAACACAAATAGAGAGGCTGAAGCCAATGGTGGCTGCCTTCAGAAGAAATTTTGGGAGCAAAACCATTTGGAAGCCACCTCCAATAGCTTCTGCCTCCAAGCTGGCCAAATGCGGCTGCCAAATTAAAGACAGAAATATTTGCCTCCTACCGGTGGATATAATAAAAAAGAACTGCACGTTTGTCTTTAACAAGCAATTAGTTAACAAGCAATTAAAATATTAACAAGAGAACAAATGTTAACAACAAAGATTAGAAGTTAAGAACAAACTTTGACAACAAACTTTTGTTTTATAAAATTTATTGAATATTTAAATAATTAAAAAAAAAAAAGTTATAATTTTGACAGAGGGGTTGTTTTTTTTGGACTATCAAATATATTAGTAAATTTATATTCAAAACAAATGTTCGAAATTAGAAATTTTGTTTACATATTGTTTATTTTCTTAAAGTTACATTTTTGTTTAAGCAAAAAAATCAAAAAAAAAAGTTTATGATAAATAAATAAATTGTCAGTTTTTGATCAATGTTTAATTTTTTGTCGCCCTTATGACACGCTAAAACTTTAATTTTAGGACCATAACATTAAATTTTTAATTTTAGTCATATATTGTAAAAATATTTGAAAACAAAACATCTTTTAATATTATTAAAAATTAATAAAACTAATTTATTTTGATGTTGGTTTGAATTGAACTTTTTCCAATAATCCAAATTTTTACAAAAAAATTTTTTTTTAGATAAGAACATAATATTTGCCATATTTTTTATACAACTTTTACAATATCCAATTATTAACAATAAGTATTTAACATTATGGTAAATGATAAAATAGATAAAACCTTTAGCATGTCGACTGTTCTAAAAAACTTTGACAAAAATCAGTCAATTTAATTACTTATTATAATTTCTTTTTTTTTGTCTAAAAGATTTATTCACCAATGGCATAAAAGTAAAGTTTTCAACTTTTAACTTTTGATTTGAATAATAAAACTAATATTTATTCTACTTAATTTATTAGCTTAAAAAAAATTATAATTTTTTTAAATACTCAAAACTTTTGCAAGCAATCATATAAAATGAAACTTGATGTCAAATATTTAACATTTATTTTTAAGTAATATTTAATTACTCATTAACTGAAACAATTGTGGATGTAATGAAAAATAATTGGTGCAATTATTTTTCATTACATCTGCCGGCGAAAGGCAAATATATCTGCCTTCAATTTGGCGGCTGCAGCCAGTTGGGAGACAGAAACCATCGGACGCAGCCTCCAAATGATTCTGCCTCTACAATTTTCAGGAGGCAGCCACCATAGGCTTTTGCCTTCCTAACGGGGTCGTTAGGAAGGCAAAAGCCTATGGTGCCTCCAAAAAATAACTTTCGCTGCAGCCGCCAATAGAAGGGCAGAAGCTACTGGAGATGGAAAAATAACCTTTTTGCCGCTAAAAATTGGTCCCTAAAAAGTCAGCCTTTCAGCAGAAAGTTACTTTGCCGCTGGGTGACATTTTCAACTCTGCCTGAAAATTCAATTCATCTTAAAATACAATATTAAAGTGAAACTATTATATTTTAAAAAATGCAAAATTCTGTGATAAAATATTTTAAATAATGAGGAGAGAAACTACAACTTCACTAGACTTAAGTTAAATAAACTGATAAACATGACAAATATTTAAATTGCATAATGGTTTTTTTACGGTTCTGTTAAACTGTAAAAATTATATTTTAAAAATATAATTATCAATATTTTAAAAATATATATATCAATAATAAAAGTAATTTCTCGGTAGACAGTGCTCAATACAAAAGTAGAGCAAATATGTATTAAATTAATAATAAAATAAATACAATTAGATTTGAAACATAACTCAGAGTTTCACGCTTTATGCGATCATCAGACGTTACAAACAACCGTAACAACAACAAAAATTATATACAAAAATACAATACAGTGTTAGCTTAGATGACGTTAAAGTTGCAAATAACAAATTTGTTTTCGTGGCGACATTTTTGCAAAAAATCTAATTGTATTTATTTTATTATTAATTTAATACATATTTGCTCTACTTTTGTATTGAGCACTGTCTACCGAGAAATTACTTTTATTATTGATATATATATATATATATATATATATATATATATATATATATATATATATATATATATATATATATATATATATATACATATATATATATATATATATATATATATATATATATATATATATATATATATATATATATATATATATATATATATATATAGGCTATTCTAGGAAAATAAGTTGGGCAGCGGTACCCCTCGTGCTGGTGCCTTTCTGTAAAGATATTTGCCGTGTATGTACGCAAATATTGTTTTTTTTCGTGAAAAAATGCTATTTGCTGAAAGAAAAAAAAGTCCTCAATTTCTAAATTTGTGCGGCAACCAAATACAATCGGCGCTGTCGAGAACAGTCTAGATAAGGCCCCTGGTATATATATATATATATATATATATATATATATATATATATATATATATATATATATATATATATATATATATATATATATATATATATAAATGTATGTATATAATTAGTATGTCGTTATATTTTTATATTTCTGAATTTGTTACTGTATTTCATTCATATATTTCACATGTTTAACTTGGTGCTTTTACAAAAACATGTATTTTAATATTTATTTTACTAGTTAAAAAAAAAGTAAAAAAATACCAGCTAGCTTTTCATTTAATACTTGGTCATATTCTTCTCTTAACTTTTCCTCTCTTTCTTTCCATAATCTTTCACATAATAAAACTACTTGTTTTATTTTTAATGAGGGAGAATCACTTCCATTAGGTGATCTTGGTGGTGACATTGATATACTTGACGTGTTAGAAGATGATCCATTCCAATACAAACTTGTACACTGCTGAAATTGCATACTATTTGGTGAGGATGAAGGAGATATACATTTTTTTCTACAACGATATCGACACCATTCTTCTTGAACATTTTTAGCAAGATCCTCTAAACATTTTAATGTTTTGAAAGAAGTAATTTAAACAATATACGCGCACAGATAAGTACTCATACATATGATATGATTATATAAATACGCACTATTTCAGTTTGTAAATATATGTGTGTGTATATATATATATATATATATACATATATATATATATATATATATGTGTATATATATATATATATATATATATATATATATATATATATATATATATATATATATATATATATATATATATATATATATATATATATATATATATATATATATACAGGTCTTCTCAGGAGACGCCTCGCACGCCTTGAATGACCACGCATATATATTTTTTTGTTGATAACATGGCCACGATTTTTTTCGCATTTATAATTAATGACGCATTTTAAAAACGCGCTGAAAAAATCAAACTAATTAGTCATCTTATTGGGTTTTTTTTATTATTAATAATTTATTATTACAATTATTTATGAGAAAATTAAAAACTAACAATAATGCACATATATATATTTGTAATTAATGATAAAATAAAAAGATAAAAATAATATATAAATATATATATTTTTATTTGTTTTCATGCATTTAATAAAATTCTGGCGATTTTTCGTTAAGTTTTTATTTACTAAATGAATTACGTCATTAAGTAATTATTATTTCTTCCTGTTGGCTTGACAAGGTTTTAACTGAAATTTTTTATATAAGGAGAATTGAAAAAATTTTTTTTTTTCATATGTATTAAAATTATTTATTTTATTGTTTTTTTTGTTTGTTTATGTACTATTATTTTGGTGGACATATAGATGTTTAGAAAAGATTTAAATATTTAAAAATTTAACTCAGCAGCAAAGCCGGCGCGATAGGGGTGTGTGTGGGGGGGGGGGAGGTGTGACCCCACCCCATCAATAATTTTTAATCGGCAAATTTGACCCTTAGTCGGCAAATGTGACCCTGTCGGTTAGTCGGTTAAGTCAGTCGGCAAATGTCGTTATGGCAGTCGGTAAATTTTAAAAAACGAGGACCTTTTTTTTTTTATTTTTAAGATGGCAAAAGTTGTTATGGAACCCCCAACCACCCACGTGACCCCTACTTGCGCCGGCTCTGCTTAGCAGCATTATAAAAATCTTATAAAAATAAAGCAATACGCATAAACGTAAGAAGTGTAAATAGAAACTTCAACAAACCAATTACTCAATTAAGTAATAATAAAGATGTAAAACTAAAATATTTTTGTGAAGTTACTCTTGGTCTTGCGAAAAAATTATTTCCGGTTTGATAACTTTCATTAAAGTTATGAAAAATCACTCAGGAAGAGTGCCACCAGTTTTTAAAAAATTTCTTTGTTAATTATTTTTAATGAATGAGTTCAATACTTATTTGCAATTCTTTTGTTATGTAATTTAACTCTTAATAATAGATAAAAAAAAATCATGATAACCGCTCGATAATGTAAGTGATGTAATTTAAGTAAAAAATACAGTATCAAAAAAACAAGTTTATTTTAAAAAAGTTTTTATAAAAATTTTAAATTGGTATAGAATTATCTGCATTTTGTAAAAGTTTCTAATACAAACTGATTTACTGATTCGCAGAAATGAGACCTATAAGTTAAATTTATTTTTTTATCTTGTTTTCCGAGTAATATCAGTGCAAGTGGCATTTTTAGTAATAAGTTTGCTTTCTTTCAGCTGAACACAAAACTTTTAAGCTTATTTTATTTATTAGACTAACAACTTTTATACAAAATTGCTAAAAGTTTAATTTAAAAGTTTAAATAAGCTAATATTTGGTAAAGTTATTGCATGTGTAACGTAATTTAAAAATGGAAATGCCTATATATGTTATTTTAATGTTTCTATTTTCTCATTAATAACTATAATAATGAATTATTAATAATAATTAAAAAAAGATGAGCAATTAATTTTGCTTTTTCAGCGCGTTTTTAAGATGCGTCATTTTTAATAAATGCAAAAAAAATCGTAGCCATGTTATCAACAAAAAAATATATATGCGTGGTCATTCAAGGCGTGCGACCGCACGCGTCTCCTTAGAAGGCCTGATTATATATATATATATATATATATATATATATATATATATATATATATATATATATATATAATATTATATATATAAATATATGTATATTATATATACATATAACTATATATATTTATAAATAAATAGATATATACACACATACAGTCTTGGCAAGAAAGGCATGTGATTTCAAGCATTTATATGACCACGTAAATAATATTTTGTTTCGACGATTTAACCACTTTTTTTAACAAATAAACTGAAAAAATGGTTTTTAATTACAATAAAAAATTTAATTATGTTTAAAATATCTTTGAAATGTTATCTTTATTAATGATTTTATATTAGTAAAACGCTTTTAAATAATGTAGCTAATGATTTTAGTTAAGGTATCATTGAAAGTTGCATAAATTTTTATTTATATTATTTAATTATATAAGCTTATTTAACTAAATAGAAATATCAAATTAATTAAAGTTTATTTAATTTTTTTAAATTTTTAGAAATATTATTTTAAAAAATTTTAAATTAAAAAAAATTAAAATTATTTTACATTTTTTAAAATACTAATTAAATAAAATAAAATAAAAAAATCTAATTTTATAAGCGATAACTTTAATCAGTGATAGTCTCTTAAAATAAACTTTATATAAGAAGCATTACAAATAATTCACTTGAAGACTAAAAAGATTTTAAGAAGGAAAAAAAAGACCAACTTTTTAAAAAGCCGTTTAAATCAAATAACTTTGATTTTTACTTATGTTTTTATATTATTGAAACACATTTAAATAAATTAACAAATCACAGCTAATGATTTTTTATATAAAATATTAACAAATATCAATTTTTTAATATTATATCAACTTTTTAAATAAACACTTTAATTATTATATTATTATACATTATTTAATTATTTCTTTTGTTTACGCTACTGCAAAGAATTGTTAAGAATCTTTTTTTTAACTTCTAAATATGCGTATTTATTAAACAATCATTAGGTGTAAGTTGTTACTTTATTTAAAAAGTATTTCACTTAATAAAATATAAAAACATTAGTAAAGATAAACGATTCAAAGTTATTTGTTCCAAACGTAGTTTAAAGAATCTTATAGTTATAGTTTATTATTTATTTTTTAATTTTGTTTTTGTTTTTTTTTTGTTTTAGTTTTAGTTAAGTTATTTTTATTTTATTTTTCAAGATAAGTTAATTTTTAAGTTTCTTCATAGTTAAGATGAATTTTTTTCAACACATTTTTAAAATAAATATAAATTTTCAAAACATATTAACAGCCATGGTCAGGTTTTTAAAATCAAGTAGTATTTGAGCGGTCATATTATGATGTGAAATTGTATGCCTTCCTGGCCAAGCCTGTACATACATACATACATACATACATACATACATACATACATACATACATACATACATACATACATACATACATACATACCAACATACATACATACGATACTTACATACTATACATACATACATACATACATACATACATACATACATACATACATACATACATACATACATACATACATACATACATACATACATACATACATACATACATATATACATATATACATACATACATACATGCATACATACATACAACACTAATTTATAGAAAAAAAGAAGATCAATAGATAATTTTTTTTTTTTTTTTTTTCAATAAACTTATTTTAATAGACACATACAAAAATATGATGTTTTGAAAAGGTGATTTTGTAATAATTTGTTACATACAGTTTGTCTTGGATTTTGTGATGCAAAATTTTTTTTTTATATTTTAAATCTAGAGAAGACTTTTTTAATTAAAAGAGTCTAACCAAACCACAACCCTCAGTTGGTGTATCTACATGTTGATTGTAAACTCAACTGCATCTTAATCTTATTTAGTCAGTCTGTACACTCAGTTAAAAGAGTAGTTACAACTTTGGGGGAGGGGGGAAGGGGTCAATAAAATGTCAAAAACTGCATGTCATAATTTATGGACAACCCCTAATAAAATATATTTTGTCATAATGAAAATCATAATGCCATAGCATTTAATCACAAGATCTTATTAAACAAAAAAGTGAAATGGTTTCCTCATGTAGACAAAAAAAAATTTTTATGTTGGTATATACATTTTCATATACAACTTTATGTTTCTGTATTATATTTGTTTGTTTTTTAATCTTATTTCATTATCCAAAGCTGAGAGGGTCACTACAGTTGAGGAAGCTTCTTTATTGTGGTTACTACCTTTTTATTGAATCTTTAATTATGAAACACAAACCTTAATGAACATGTCTGTTGCACAGAGGTACATAAGATATGCACAGAGATACATATGCGCGATTTCACGTCATATTATGACGTGAAATTGCATGCCTTCCTGGCCAAGCCTGTACATACATACATCCTTACATGCATACATACACCATCTGTCAAAAGTTTGGGTTCACTTCCTTTATTTTTTGTTTCTACATAATTTTCTTTGAAAATTAAAGCTCCTTCCACTAAAAACTATTGTCACATTAATTTGAAGTATTAACTTTGACATTTTGTTAACTACAAGCCTATTTGTGTATATAGAGTGTAGGATTATCATCATTACAATAATGAATACTGTGGATATATTTTGCTGAAATAATTGGGTATATTTTGCTGTAACAACTTGATATATTTTGCTGTAAAACTATCCAGAAAGGTAATCAAAACATTGTTTTTGTTAAATATTGTAACGTTCATAGAATAATTATTATAAACAAGGATTAATTTAAAGTATTTTGTACTAGTTTTAAAATTTGAAGACAAATATACATTTTATGTTTTGATTGAAGAAAAATGGGTAAAAAAACAGAGCTAAGAGTACAAAAAATAGGGAGATTTTTATCATTAATTTTACGGAAGGTTATTCAATATAAAAAATTGCTTTAAAAACCAATTTTTCTCAAAATGCAGTCATTAGAGCATTGTAAAGAAAAATGAAACTGAATGTAATCAGAGTTGCCATTGTTCAGAGAGACCTATAGCAACACTGAATCACAAAGATAAATTCATTAAAAGAAATTTTACTCAGACTGCTATCGAAATTTGCCAAGAACTTAATTCAATGCAAGAAACACCAATATCTGTTTTAGCTGTAAAACAGTATCTTAATTGTGGTTTGAAAGAAAGCGTTGCTGCCACAAAACCATTACTATGCAAGCTAAATGAAGTTAAATAATTGAGATTGACAAAAAAACAAAAAGATTGGGAAATATAGCAATGATTGCAAGTCTTGTTTACTGATGAATCAAAGTTAAAAACTATCTTAGGAAATCATTGTTCACTGCTTATTTGGTAAACGTGTGATAAAACAATATGTGATCCAGACTTGGCCAGGAAGGCGTGCGATTTCACATCATAATATGAACATGCAAATACTCTGTTATTTTGAAAACTTGACCACAGCTGTTAATATGTTTTGAAAGTTTGTATACATTTTAAAAATGCATTAAAAAAATTAACTTAACTATAAAGAAGCTTAAAAAAAAACTTATCGTAGAAGAAGCAAATAAATCTTTGTAAAAGAAATAACAAAAAATAAAATGAGAATAACTCAACTAAAACTAAATTAAAAAAACTAAAACTAAAACTTAACTAAAATAAATAATATTCTATAACAATAAGACTAAATTAATTACACTTGGAATAAACTTTAAACGGCTTATTTTTACTAACTTTTTTTAATTTAATATTGTGCGAAAAGCATTTTAAATAAAGTAACAACTTAAAACACTTATAATTGTTTAACAAATGCGCACAGTTAAATAAAAGTTTCTTAACAACTCTTTGTAATAAAGTAAAAAAAAAAAAAAAAAATTAAAATGTTTATTTAAAAAGTTCATATAATTTTTTTTAATTTAAAGACAATAAAAAATACATACTTATATAAATATATTAAAATTATATTATTCATTAATATTTTTGTAAAAAATCATTACCAGTGATTTGTTAATTTATTTAAATGCGTTTCAATAATAGAAAAACATAAGTACTTTTTATATCTTAAAAACATAAGTTTTTTTATATCAATAATATAAAAACATAAGTTATTTTTAAGATCAAAATTATTTAATTTAAACAGCTTTAAAAAAGTTCATCTGTTTTTTTTCTTCTTAACAAAATATTTCCACTTTTTGAGTTAATTAACTTGAATAATAATAAAAAGACCACCGATGTTTAAAGTTGTCGCCTAAAAAATTTAATTTTTGTTTTTTATTATATTTTTTTGTTTTAATTTACTTATAAAAAAATCTTATATAATTAAATAACAATAATAATAAAAATTTATACAACTTTCAATGATACTTTAATTAAAATCATTAGTTACTATATTTAAAAGCATTTTGCTAATATAAAAACGCTTGTAAAGTTAAACATGTCAAAGTTATTTATTTTCAATGTAATAAAAAACCTATTTTTTCAGCGCATTTTTTTAAAAACTGTGGTTAAATCCTCAAAATAAAATATTATTTGCATGGTCATATAAAGACTTAAAATCGCACGCCTTCCTGGTCAAGCCTGTGATCCTAAAAGTCAAGCATGGTGGATAGTCAGTCATGGTCTGATAATGCTTTGCTGAAAAAAAGTTAGTGATCTTCTGCAAATTGAAGGCACCATGGATAAAAATAATTTAAAAAAAATACTGAAATATTTTTTTAAATGTCATCTCATTCTTCATGATAAGGAAAGGCAATCTCAAGAAATGTTAAATTTCTTGAGATTGCATTTCCTTATCATGCTAGCAAAATTCATAATCCTGTTTTACAAGTTTACAATTTACAGTTTATTAAATCTTCTATCTAAACTGTTTTCTTTTCTTTTTTTTTTTAATTTATTTTTTGCTTCTCAACTTAAATTGTGGTTGCTTGCAGCGCTATTCAGAAGTGATTTTATTTTAGATGTTAAAGTCATTTTAGGGAAAAAAATTTGTCAGAAGTTTTGATGGCAGATCTTAACATAAAGAATCACTACTACTCTTAACTACTGTAGGTAATCCATTTAATGGTTTTGACTCAGAACTAATAAAATGATCACTAACAGTAGTAGAATATAGTAATATTCTTTAAGTTAATATTTGTAATATCAGATACTATTCCATGTAATATGTGATAGGGATCTGCTTATTTTAAATATTCACATTGCAATCTCACAAAAAATTACTAAATATGTATCATGTTCTAATATTACTTAATTACTCCAAAAAGCCAGAAGAGCATAATTTATAGTAATTATTCTTAATCATTGTGCCGCAGCACTATTATGTATCCCAAAATTCTAAACATATAATTGTGTTAATATTATTAAATAGTATGATTTAAATAAGAAAAATACTTTTAACAGAATATTTAAACTCATAAAAAATCTCCATAAAAAATGTTAAAGTCGTAAAAGTGTGCTGCAACAAAAAAAAAAGTTGAGAATCACTAATTTATTGAATTAAAAAAAACTCAAACAAAATTATTTGATGAAATAATACACAGTAGCTTATTGTTTAAGAAAAATACTTTAAGGATACTATTTAAAATTGACTAAGTTTATTAGAAATAAAGTCAATTTTAAATAGTATACTTTAATAAAATTCATCGGATTATTTAGATTATAAAATTTTATTTAGTAAAATTATTATGAGAGCAAAATTACAAAAATATTTTCCAATTTTCAGCTATATTTCAAATATATATATAGTGTTCGACAGGTTAATGTAATTAATGTTTTAATGTGTGGTTCAAGTTATTAAATAGAAATGCATTAAATTAAGTCAAAATAGTTCGTTAACCTAAGGTTTACTTAGCTACATGTAAAAAAAAAAAAAAAAAATAGAAGTATTTATATTTATCTTTAGAATTATTTTATAAAGTTTACCTCGACTAAGTTTAGGTGTGGCTGATAAAAAAGGGGAAACATTTGAAGAAGTTGAGGCAACAGCGACCGTTCCACATCTTTGTCGTTTTGGTGATGAAGAATTAAGCTGAGGCGTACTTTGAGACAAGATATCAAAATTATAAGGACGCTTCAAAGCAGCACAAGCCATATTTGTAAATATAAAAGTATCCCTTTTTCTATAGTAAAGTTTAGAATAAGTACAGGCTTGATCGCTTCGCCTCCCCAAAAGATCTTTTTTTTAATCTAACGGAGAGTGTAAAGTTTTAGATGACCGTTGGCTCTCTAGAGTGCCTCGTATACGTCGAAAAATAACAACGGCAAACTTGAAGTTTTGATAAATCGCAAGGACCCGTAATCGATCAATGCGACTGAATTCTAAAATTACTTTTTACTAACTAGTTTCAATCTATGTTTGAACATAATATAGCTTCTGCTTTTAAAAAGAAAATACAGATAAATTCGACTATATAAACTTAGTAATGTAGTTTAAGCTGACAATAAAAATTTAGTTTAACAAATTTACTTTTAAAATATCAAGATATGTTGACTTCGTTATTGCTTTTAGTAAACGATCTAACAGTCTATTCTACTAACAAAATTACCTAATAATTTTTTTTAACAATAGGTTTCACGAGTAAGTAAACCAGAACCATCTGCCAAAAAACTGTTTTTCCTTTAATTGTTACTGCATGTAAAAATTACTAATTGTTTACTAGTATCGACAAACTGGATTTCTAATAACATCTTACAAAAAAAATAACAACTAATAAATGATATGTAAAGGACTGATTATTTCATTTACAATCTAAAGGCCTGATTATATGAGGAAATTTGTCCCGCTTTGCCGAGATAAAAACTTCCCGCCTGTAAAAAAATTTAATCGATTACATGTAAAAAAAAATTCCTGTATTATTTCGCTGAAAGTTAAAATAAAATATGGCCGAAAAATCGCTAAAAATCTTAAATGCAATGCTTGTTTCACTTAATTTACAGCAGATAGATCTTGCTCTTGCAAGATCTATCTGCTGTAAATTAAGTGAAACAAGCATTGCATTTATATTTGATAAAACAAAGAAGATTATTTAATATTTTTGCATCATTTTCTTTACAAAAAGAAGTTATTTCTTACAAAGAATTATTAATGCTGTGGAGAAACGTTCAAGGCGAATGCCCCGTAGCATATGGATTAAACCAGGAAGTTCTGAAACTTTTTGGTTTAATCTGTTGAACAATGGTACTACTAAAAATAAATGGAAACTAAATTTTTGGATGTCTAAAAAGCATGTGATGGAACTAGCTAATTACTTGCGACCCTTTATCAGTTCTGGTAGCAATTCCCCAAACTATAGGGCACTTAGCATTGAAAAAAAATAGCATGCTGTTTATATTATTTAAAAGATACGGGGTCTCTATGGATGATTGCTAATGCGTTTGGTATATATCAATGCACAATGTCTAAAATCGTATTAGAAGTTTGTGAGGCCATTACATATTACCTTGGACCAAAAATACTTTATCTTCCTAAAGACAAAACAGAAATGAAAAACAAAATTTTAGAAATGGAAACAAAATTTAATATGCCTCAAGCTTTTTGTTTTATTTGCGGGACTCTCGGCAGAGAAATTATCCCGGTATGGCGAAACGGGATAAAAAAAAAATGTAATCGTTTTTAAGACTTTATGTGTAGTTAACCGTTATACCGAGATCTCGGCTAATCGTCCCGTCTCGGTGAAGCGGGACATATTTCTTCATAAAATCAGGCCCTTAAACTTGCACAATGAACAAAATAATAAACTTACTCAAAAAGCCACCTACTTATAATTAAAGTTTAATTTAATAGTTTTTGAATAAACAAAATTTTAAATTTGTTATTTATTTATAAAATATTTAACCATTTTTCTTTTTCGCAGACATTATGCAGTGTTAACAATAACCCGAAGGGGAATGAGCTAGCGACTAACTGGAGACTTGCTAGCTTTATTGCGATTTTCAAGCGATTTTTTTTTTCGTATTTTATTTTTTCCTAATGTCTTTAACATCTTTAAAAATTCGATTTTAAGTGTTGAGTCTATTATAATTATGAGAATAATTAAACTTTAAACATTGCGATTTTGTAGTAATGTGTTTCGCAAGCTACATATCGTAGCTTTGTAGCTAGCTACAAAATATCTACAAATCTATAGCTGGTTGATAGCTACATATCAAAATTTTTTAGACAGCGATTTTTTTACAATATGTGGCTAGCTACAATAGCCAGTAAGCCTTTAGCTTATTAAGCTAGCTGTTCTCGTAGCCAAATCGCTGTCTGTTCACTTACAAACATTGATAGCTTTTCGCTAACTTAAAAAACTAGCAATCCTAGTGGTCAAATCGTTGTCTTTATTGTTACGATTATAGCTACCTATTCGCAAGCCGATTTCCCACCGGGAACCTTCTGAACAAAAAAATACCTGAAATATTAATCAACATGAAGTCTCAATCACTCACTGTCTGCCAGTAACAAAAAATTGCATTTCTAATAACACTTTATATAATAAAAATAACAATTAGTGAATAATATGTAAAAGACTAATTATTGAACTTAGATACTAAAACTTCCACAATGCACAAAATAATAAAATTGCTTACAAAACTATCGAGCAAAATTGTGGTTTAATACAAAAAATTTTGAATTACCAAAGTTTCAATTTATTTTTTATTTATACAACAATTAACGCTTTTTTTGTGTGTTAACATTGGGTAGAGTTTAGAATAATCTTCTGACAAAAAAATACTTAAATTGTAACCAACAAGAGTTCTTTATCTTTATGTGCAATCAATTATGTGCTCCAATCATGTTAACCGATAAATTTATTCAAAATGTAATAAATATTTTATTACTCAAATTTGTTATTCTAATTATTATTTATTTTACTTTAAGGTGAAATAACCAATGTATATGATAAACGGTATTAAGTAAATAACTCGGACGAGATGGGGCATAATTTTTCTATAACTAAATATAAATGATTTTTTTTCTTCTGAATATTGTTAACGCGGTTTTATACGCATAATTAGTTACTGTTCGGTGACAACCAGTTTTTTGTTTGTCATGGAACAGAAAAGGTTTATAAAACGTTTTTTATCTAGTCGCGTCCTTTCCAGTGGCGAATTACGACTTCTTGGGGCCCGGAGCTATTTTTGTTTTTGGAGACGTTTTTATAGGCCAGAGCCTAAAAATGACTAATAATAATAAAAAAAGGTCCTCTAAAATTTTTGGGGGCCCCTAAATTTGCGGGGCCCAGGGCCCTAGCCCCACCCCACCCCCTTGATCAGGCACTAGTCCTTTTCTATATAGTTTAAAGTCTTAAAACTTTGCACTACCTATCGCACTAAAGTGAAAAAGTATGAAGTTACTTTCATTAAAACAATATTTTTAATCAAAAAGTATTCAATTTTTGAAAAAGTGTGTTTCAGATTTTATATAGCACTCTTAAATACTGTTAAAAAAAATCAAAAGACCATATTAAGCATTTTCTGCTATACGAACACCAAACGCACTATTCTGCTAGAAAAGTCGCTGGTTATATTAGTTGTTCATTAGCTCAGGTCTCTTTGTCGCATGCTACAGCACGGGCGGATTCAGCATTTTTGTGTCTTTGAGATTAAGCTACCTTTCAAACACGGAGCAAACTCCAAACATTTATATGTTTTTTACTTATCTCAAATAAAAATGCTTTGCAAAAAATTGCGATGATTAGAGCCTGGGAACAAAAAAATCTCAAATCTTTGCCCCCCTCCCTGCACCAAACGTGAGAGGCACAAGTTGATAAAATATTTTTTTTGCTATTCTCAATTAGACTTGTATTCATCGATTAATTTTAGATTTCATAGTTTAATATTTCAGTGTTTAAAAAAATGACCATATAATGTTTGAGTACCCCTCAATTTGTGGGGGTTAAAAATTTTATATGGTCATAATTTTTGAACGCTGCACAGTGAGGCCAATTTAAAAAAATGAAAAAAAAAATGTCAAACTATTAGGTAAGTGTGGGTTAAATATACGTTATATCTCTAAATAAGGGTTTTTGGGGAGTAGAAATCCATATATGGAACTTTCTTTTTTTTTACATACTATAAATACCCGCAACACACGCATATCACTTTTTTTTTTTTTTTTTTTTTTTTTAGGTGCCTTAAGAAGACCTAATGGTCTTGTCACAGAGCACCGCGGTAGTGCATTTAACTCGGAAGTTCACGACACCTTCTTTACCGTGACGCGAAAATATGCCCAGAGCTCGTTTCGAACCTGGATCTCCTGCTTAAAAAGCAAGCGTTCTAACCACAGCGCCACGGCCGCATATATGCGTTTTAACGCGGGTTAGAGAACTTCAAAAACTGTAACTACTATTTATATTTTAAAATTTAGGTTAAGAACCAAAATATATTATTATATTAATGCACACACTTAAAATCCAATTAAACGTTCACGTTTGCACGCGCAAACATGGATGAAACTTTTTAAACAAACAAACAAACAAATGTGTTTTTCACATTTCAAGCTATTAACAAGTTTAGTACATCTGTTGGCAATACCTTCCCAAGATACTCCCCAGCTTTATAAAAAAAATTGTTGATATTTTAGGTTAATATTTTTGCTGTGTGGTGCAATCTTGCATTACAAATCAGTTTGTTGAGACTTTCTAGGGATCCCTAGAATATTGAGAATCCCTCAGAATATTGAGGTATATGTAAATCAAATTGCTTTGGTATGGAGAAATTAATATCAATATTTTGTAAATACTTGTTGGCATTATATACCAACCACATTTATTAACAATAGTCGTAGAAGTATTTAAATTTAATTGAATTAATTAACTTTACAGAAATCTTTTCTTCTATAGTCCTAGCTTGAAATGGTTTTTCAATTTATAACCTAAATGTAATATAAACTCAAATAATTTTATCCAACAATGCAAATTTGAAATACCAAGTTTAAGAGCATTCTTATTTTCAGGGTTTTTTTACAATAAACTTATATTATTCATCTTATTAGGTTTAAAGCTGCACACAATACAAGACTGAGATGATTTTGTATCATTCAAAGAGTTCTGTCAAACACTGTCATATCTATTATGACATATCTATTAATGCTTAAAAGATATATACTACTCTTTTATTCATAGTTACATTAGCTACTGTAACATTGCTTGGGCCAGTACTTGTTCATCAGCATTAAAGAAAATATATATAAAACAAAAACAAGCCAGTAGAGTTATATGTAAT